TGTAACTATCATCTCAGATCTATACAAATTGGTCAAGTTGGGTGAATTCTGCAAGGCTGCCTCAGAAAGAATACTATATTAAAATGAAAGTAATTATGTCAACACCTTCATTTAACAGAAAAAATTTTATTTTTCACATATATATATATATATATATATATATATATATTCAGTTTTACATACTATCCTCCATATCAGTTTCTCAATAAGTCACCCTGAGGCTATCTCTAGAGAACCAACATATTTATTTATTTTTCTCATTGAGTTTACTGGTACAGTTACATTTATCATTGGGATCTTGTACCTTTACATGACAGGTTTTGGTAGAGAACCAATTTAATGTCAGTTTAAGGTGAGGAGTCTGTTGGGAATGCACAGTTGCTCCTCTCTCCTCTATTGATATCTAAAACTTGGGCAGTGTCAACTACTAAGAATTCCAATGTGTTTATTATATAAATAGACTTTAAGTAAATAATAAAGCTAGTTGCCAAAAGTGAAATGCTGTTACATGTAGTATAGTTTTTCTTACTTTGGATGGGAAAAATATTTCAAGAAAAATAAGGCTTCAAGTAGCTGGAGATAAAATCATCAAGGCATTTCTTACCATCTTATGTAGCAATGGTGGTGAACCTATGGCATGTGTGTTCTTTTTCTTTTTAAGACAAAAGATGTTACTGTATGAGTTTTTTTTAACTGTACAAGATGTTTTTTCTAAGTTAAAACTTCAGTGTTCAGTATATGTTAGCAGTTTGTGCTAAGTGGGTTTGCAGTTTGGGTATGAGTCTCTAAAAGATTCACCCTCGCGGTTACATAGTAATGAGAAATGTCGAGAATTTTTTTTTTGTATGGGGATTGAATTCACGACCTTGTGCTTGCAGTGCAGGTAGTGGCACCACTGAACTAAATCCCCATGCCTCGGGAGAATTTTTAATTTATTTCAAGATTTTTTTGGCGGGGGTCAAACTCACAACCTTGCACTTGTGAGGCAGATGTGGTGTCACTGAGCTAAATCCCCAGCCCTTAAGATGTATTTTTAAGTGGCTTTAAATATTATGTCTTGGTAGATGGATTTGAGGAAACAAAAAATTAATACTCTGCTTCACTGTATGCCAAATCAACAAGATCAAATCTGAGGATAACAGGCCCTTCACCTTAAGAGGGCGCTATAGTGTGGGTCTGGAATGTCCTCCACAAAGGTTTGTGTGTACATACAGGTTTGGTCCAGTCTGTGACACTGTGGGAGTTAGTGGGAAGTTTGCAATGGGACCTAGTGGGAAGATTTAGGTCATTAGAGGAATGCTCTCCAAGGGGGTGATGGGATTCTGGTTTCTTTCTCTTCCAGTCTCCTTTACATTCTGGATGAGACAAGCAGTTTCTGCTCCTCTGCAGGCTCCCCACCATAATTTACTGCTTCACCACAGACAAAAGCAATGGAGCCCAAAGTAGACTGAAACCTACAAAACTGTGAGCCAAAATAAAACTTTTCTTCTCTGTATAAGCTGATTATCTCAGGTATTTGTTACAGTAACAGAAAGCTAACACAGAAAGTACTGAAGCAGACTCAAACATGACAATGGTCAATCTATATACATGTGGTGAGTGCTATAATCAAGAATTTTAAGAAGAAAATCAACCTCATATATAATTTCTCTGGCCTGTTACAATATTAATAACCCCAATTTCAAATTTCATTCAAGAAAAGCTTATGTAAAGTATTTATGCAGTTCCTACCTGATGGCTAAAAATGATGAAAATGTGCCTATGGTACTGTGAAAGATCCCCCCCACCCCAAACTGGGGACTGAATCCAGGACCTTCAACACTGGGCTGCACTCCAGCCCTTTTTATTTTTATTTTTTTGAGATAGGATCTCACTGAACTACCCAGACTGAACTCACAACCCTTCTACCTCAGCCTCCAGCATAGCAGGATTAGGATTACAGGTACATACCGAGCTAACAGTAAGTATTTATTACTTATTAGCTAGGACTGTACACATCTAGTAAGAAGTATTTTTACTGACTCTATTATGTTTTTTTGTTTTTGGTACCGGGGACTGAATTCGGGTCCTTGCACTTGCAAGGCAGGACACCGAAGGGCTGAGCTAAATCCCTGGCCCCTTACTGAGTCTATTATGTATTTATTATCATAAATTTTACTGATAATGAACTCTCATTTTTCCTAAGTCTGAAATGTATTTCTTTTCTTTTCTGTTGGATTTTTGAAACAAGGTCTCACTATGTAGTTTAGACTGGCCTTAAACTCATCATGTAGCACAGGCTGGCCCAGAACTTACAGTGATCCTCCTGTGTACTAGGATTATAAGTGAACAACACACCTGGCTAAAATGCAGTATTTCAATTGTCATTACTCAACTTGTCAACTAGGTTTAAAGCTATAAATGCATTTCTGAGTTTGTTGTTTTGAATGTGGTTCATTTTTTGTGTGGAACTAAAAAGACAAAAAACAAAAAACAAAAAAAAACCTCCTCAGCCTATTTAACCTATAATACAACTGAGTATATACTGTATTCCTGTTATTTATTTTTATCAAGAATACATATAACCTATCCCCCTGTAGAGAAAGGGTTTTCAAAACCTGAAGGGCTGTGTTTTACTTTCTCAGAGGCAGTTGCAGACCTCTCTGAGTATCATCTGTTGTTCCTAACACCTAAGATACCAGTATGGTAGTCATCGTCACTCTGAGAGTACATATACATATGAGATCCAGGAACGAAGCAAAACAAAATGCCAGTTATACTCAGTACCTTTGAAAAAGAACCTCATCCAAGGTTAGAGTTTTAGTTCCTTTCCTGAGAAACATAAAAATAACTGGAACAAAACTAAGGGTCTAAATCATATAAATTGTATAAAAGGAACTTGGCACAAAGCTCAGAAACAATGTTTCATATGGTGTGATTCATACTCCTCTCTTTTAGAAGGGGCAGACTCATAAGGCAAATCCACTAAAATGTAAAAAAGAACAATGTCAAATGTTTATACTCATTAGTTATTAAATTTGATGGTTTGAAAAACAAAAAATCTACTAAATAAAGTTATACACTATGTTTCAGGTCTTCCACTAAGCTTGCAATTTGTAGTTTGTGATTACAAAAAGAAATACTAGGTTTTACCAGAGTTACTAAACAATTTGGTCAAAACATTTTCATATTTGCTAAAACTTAAAGGAAACTAGTCTTCTGTATATTTTTACTAGTTGTATTAATACTTCAAATATGAGCACCTCAAGACAATTTAAAAAAATAAAAGTGAGGTTAACTTTTCAAACACATACACATAACTTATTTTTTAAAAAAACCATTGGAAATATTAATACAAATACATGCAATTATACCTCACTTTAATTTCAGACATGTACTGTATATGCTGCCAAACCAGCACAACATGCAGTTTCATCTCTATAGCAGATGAGAAGAAAATCTCCAAATTAAGGATGACACTATTGTATTCGTATAGAAGTATAACTGACTGAAAGCCAGGTAAAGGTGGTCTTACAGACAGGTAGCCTGGAATGTTTACAAAGTGGTAGGGTTGTGGAAATGGAGGAGAGAATAAAACAAAAAAGGGAAGATGTGATACACTACCATTTTGCATACGTGATGTTATCCATCCATCCATCCCAATGGTTATTAAAATACCTAAAAGGACCAGGCACTGAAGAGGTTTGCTCTTACTTGGACCAGAGACATGCAGTTTTTTGTACGGTTGCACAGAAGGGCTATCTGATTTCAGAACATAAAAATCCAACCAGTTCAATGACTTCATGCCCAATATTGGTCTCACCAGTACGTGCTCTCACCGACTCAGTCTTTCCTAATTCTGGGTGCACTAGCCATATACTGCACAGTAAAAAAGTGTCTCCAACCTTATTAGAATCAACATCTAACCTAAAGGAAAAGGAGTGGCTTGGTGTGAAAAGATGGGGCAAGAGGCCACTGAAACAATGCAGCCGTGCTACAAATGCAACTGGAGGTATAATGGGCATCTCCACCTTTTGATTCAGACAGAGAATTATGGAGATATAGACATCACTTGACCTTATTGAACATGAGTTTCCTTTCCATAAAATAGGATAATAACCACTGCTCAGACTGAGTCACAGGGTTACTTAGAGGCTCACATAAGAAATAAATGTGAATATACACTGCTAAGCCATTATACTATGTAAGGTTTTTGTTTGTTTTTTGGGTTTTCAACTTTCTTCCAACTTATGAGCTTCCTTACAATGTCAGAATATCCAAATATAGAAAATATTTTTGAAAAGATGACAGAGAAATAAAATGTCGACTAGGATACTAAATCAGAACGTGCAAAGTTAGTTTCATTGATAAAGTTCAGATGCAAAACCAGGCCCAGGACATGTTTATCCCTGCAGCCAGCAGCTCCCTTATCCTCATCCCCAAGCTGTTCTGTATTACTTTCAGGTGAATCACTGGGGATAAATTCAGTCTGGAGGTGCTTGGGGAGGGGCTTTCAACACTGAGAATCAACCCCTTCCCCCAAAATCTTTAACAAACACTCCTCCTACTCTTTGGGGCCGGCCCACGCTATCAAAACTATTCTTGGTAAGAGAATGGCTGTTAAAGATTTTTTTAGCTACACTCTTTTAACTATGGAACACCTGCTCCTTCCTCCACCACGAATTACCTACTTCTAAGGGTCAGATTTAGAGTCAGAAAACTCAGGTAAAGTCTGATCCTTTCACAGGCCTCACACTCCAAGCCTCAACTCTCTGAAGAATAAACCAGCCTCGTCCCTTGGAGAAAATGAATGGGACAGTGCCAGGAGAGGTGTTTCACAAACACCGTGCCCATCGCTGTCCTAAAGTACGCTAACGAGTCCCGCTAAGCCTTTCTGCCTCAAGGAAGTAGCCCGGTTAGAATCGACGCCCCCAGTTGCCGACGCCGGCCGGGCGTGTCCCACGGAATCTATTCCGGGCGAGGGGACGCGGGGAGTCCGGGCGGGGCCCACAGCAACCTACCTGTTGTTCCGGATGCTGACCAGCACGCACAGCACCAGCTCCAAGTAGGTGCGCAGCACTTCCAGCCAGCGGGAGGAGAGCTGCAGGGCCTCGACCTCTTCCCCTCCGGTCTCCGCGCCCGCGCCACCTCCGTCGCCCGGGCCGCCGCCTCCGCCTCCGCTCAGGTAGTTTTCGGCGGCGAACTCAACGCGCAACTCTCGCACGAACCAGCCGCACTTGCGCATGAGGAACTCC